TCCTAGGCAGGAGGGGTATACAGATAGTCGGGTCCCAAGAGGTGATCCCGGGCCACCTCCATTATGTGGACGTGTCTTATGGAGAGGCAGACCTGAGACTAATAAATGTGTACGCCCCCACGACGTGCACAGAAAGAGTGGACCTATGGAATAATGTAGCGACCCTACTCGTGACGAGACGGCAAGTCATAATGGGGGGTGATTTTAACTGCGCGTTGTGCCTGGGAGACCTATTATCGGTGGCTGGGAGGAGGAGGCTCGATCCTTCCTCTAGGAAGTTGAAGGAGCTGATAGAGGATTTTAAAATGACTGACACCTTCAGAAAGGTACACCCGGTGAGACCGGGATACACGTGGTCGGATAAGGGTGGTAGAAGGCAATCACGAATAGATTTCATCTTTGTGTCTGCCAATGTGAAGGTGGATGGAGCAGACCTGGAACCCTTCCCCTTGTCAGATCACAATTTGGTGAAGGCAAAGCTCGGTATTCCAGGTGGCCTGAAGATGGGGAAGGGAACCTGGAAAATGAATGTGAGCCTGTTGGAAGACAGAAGGGTTGTGGAAGACTTTGTAAGGAAGTACGAAGACTGGACGACCCTGCAGGAATGCTTTGCCACGAGGGTGGAGTGGTGGAGCATGGTGAAGGGACGGATAAAGGCCCTCTTCCAGACACATAGTAGAAGGAGGAGTGTAAACAGGGAACTGCAGCTGTGGAACGCTAGAATCGAGAAGCACAGGTTACTTGAGCTGGGATTCCCGGTGGGTGAGGATATACGGAGATTGAAGGGAAGGTTATCCTCGGTATTGGAGAAAAGAGTCAAACAAATGGCATACAGGGCAAGGGTCAGGGAAACGGAACAGGGAGAGAAATGTACGAGTTTCTTCTTTAAGAAATGCAAGGCAGGAGACAACACACTTAGGGAATTGGTGAGTCCGGTCAGAGGCAGGCAGGCAACGACAGAGGGTATGATAGAGATAGCGGAGGAGTACTATGGAGAGTTGTATGGGAGGAAGGGAACGGATAAGGGAATAAGGGAGGCACTACTAGGGGAGCTAAGACATGAGGTTAAGAACCCAGAGGTACTGGGAGGGAGGATCCAGATGGAGGAAGTGGAGGAGGCAGTGAGGAGGCAGAATAAGAATAGGACGCCAGGACTGGATGGAATTCCAGCAGAATTCTATATTACATGCTGGGATTTAATGAAAGGGGACATGCTGCAGATGTATAGGGAAATGCTGGAGGGTGGACTGGTGCCAGAAGAAATGTGTGAGGGGCTCATCATACTGATGTATAAGAAAGGGGACCGGAGAGAGTTGGGAAACTGGCGTCCAGTTACGCTCCTGAACTCGGACTACAAGATTATGGCAAAAATAGCTGCGACGCGACTGGGGAAGGTGGTGGAGGGAGTAATCGAACCCGACCAGACGTGTGCGGTGCCAGGAAGAAGGATTTCGGACTCCCTGATTTTATTAAGGGAGGCAATAGAGGTAGAAGGAGAGAGGGGATGCCCCCTAGGGCTTCTTAGCCTGGATCTTGAGAAGGCTTTCGACCGCCTCTCGCACGAGTATATGTTCGCAGTGTTGGAAAAAATAGGAGTGAGGGGACCCTTGGTCGATTGGGTGAGGCGTCTTTACCAAGGGCTCAAGACCAGACTACTGATAAATGGGGAGCTCTCGGGGACAATTCCAGTAGAGTCAGGGGTGAGACAGGGGTGCCCGATGTCCGCGGTTCTATTTGTAATGTGTATGGAACCCCTTGCACAGGCAATAAGAAACAATGAGGAGATTAAGGGAGTGACCATCCCCGGGAATAAGGAACAGGGGAAGGTGGCGCTATATATGGATGACGTAGTCGTGCTCTGTAGGGACGTGGCATCAGTGTGGGGGGCCATGAAGGAGACAAACCGCTTCGGCCTGGCCTCCGGCTTGAAGGTGAATGCGAGGAAGAGCGAATTGATGGCCTTCGGGGACCCGAGACTATTTGAGGGTCGGCCGCCTGAGTTGGGGATAAAGACGGAGGAAGTCAAGGTCTTGGGAGTGTCCTTTTGCCGAGAAAGGTCGGCGGAACGAAACTGGGACGGGAGGATAAAGCAGGTAAAGGGACAGTTAGGCAAGTGGGCTGGGAGACGGCTCACGATGGAAGGGAGGATTCTGGTAGTGAGGGTGGTGGTTTTACCAACACTCAACTACCTCGCATATGTGTACCCGCCAGGTAGGAGGGAGGCAAGAATCCTGGAATCGATGTTGTTTAAATTCATTTGGGGAGGCGGGATGGATAGAGTGAAGAGAGTGGTGATGTGTAAACGTGTCGAGAACGGGGGGAAGGGTGCCCCAAATATTGCACGTGTGCTGTCCTCAATTTTTGTGTGCAACACTTTGAGGTTATTCTTTTCCGAAGATCCCCGGGGGAAGGCCGCGTGTTATTTAAGGTATCGCCTGATGTGGCTCCTGAGGGGGCTTGGGATGACCCAATTACCGGCGGGCACGCCCTTGGCCTGGCCACAAGGATGGCTGAATGCGGCGGTGGGTGACTACATAAAAGAGTACAATTTGAGTCAGAGAGGGGGATCGTGGAACTCCAAGGAGGTATTGGCCAAAGTAAACGAAGGGGAGGCCTGCGAGGGGGTGATGGGCGCGAAGAGGACTATGTACCGTCAAATGTGGAGGAACACTTCATCAACGGCGCTCACAAAAGAACAGAGAGATCTGTCCTGGTTGGCGGTGTGGGATAGATTGGAGACGAGGGGCTTCATGTTTTCTCGCCGAATGGCACGTTCGCCCAAATGCCCGAGGGGCTGCAACACAGATGAGGACGCGGTGCACGTCATGGTGAGGTGTCCCTTCGCACAGGAGGTGTGGAGACTGAGCAGTCCGCTGTTGTCCTGGTTTTACCCGTCGCAGGTGATAAGTCGGGACATTATGTGGGGAGTCTTAAGGGAGGTGCGGGGAGATGACAGAGATCGAACGTGGGCTATAATAGGCGCGACAAAGGAGGCCTTGTGGGGAGCTCGCAGAAAAGAGTTGGATGGGTCCCCTATATCACCGTTGGAGGTGTGCTACTGGGCGAGGAGGTTGCTAGAAAGGGTGATGGAAGTAGACCGGGTTAGGCTGGGATACAAGGCCGCAGGTGTGAAGTGGAAGTGGCCCCTACCCGGGGTGGGGTAGCGAGGGGACCGGCGGGTATAGGGAAGGGATAGTGAAGGATGGCCACGCACATTTTAGCCGGCCTGCTAAATCGTGTGGGCGAGGAATGTACGTGTTCGATCGGGGGAAGGCGATGTGATGGAGCAGCGCATGGGTGAATGGTGGTGATGAATGTAAATAAGGGGAACGGGGCGGTGTGCGTTATGGCGGCGAGCTTTTTTTTGTTGCATTGTATGTGGGTGGAGCCCGCGGATGTGACGGAGACTCGAAGGGGCCAACGGGGCGCCCGGGAAGGAGCGGTTTTCAGTACTCTCTTTGGTTTTCCTTGTACCCGTTGAGAAGTTAATAAAAACCTTTAAATCGCAAATCGCAATTACCAGCGAAACGTCGTACTCAAATTGTAAATGTTGTGGCTTCAACACACCAGTGGGCTAAAGCAGTGAACTATTTGTCTTTTGTCAACGTGACACTTTTTTACTGATTGGCCGTGTCGGGTGGTGGAGGGTTACGACACATTTATAAATAACGCGATCTAAACCCAAAAACGTTGATTATGAATAACATTGGTCGCGAAAGGCTACGTGTTAAACAAGTCAGGGAGGATTATCTTAGCTTAAGGCACGGCTATTACGAGTACAAGGTACACCGATCCATAACAATACTATATTATTGTACCCTACACTCCTATAACCCGATGAAGACAGAATATAAATATCATGTGGACAAAATAAGGCGAGATGGACGTGGCCTGTCTAAATAATATCCGGAGCAGCGTTCCGGACTGATTCAGTTTCAATTAATCAGAGTGATTTTCTGCACAAAGTCGCATTGTTGCGGTGCTAATATCCAGTGTACAGCATCTGATTTAGTGGCGTGGTAATTCCACATTCGTATGGTGGGGACAAGTCTACCCAAAAAACAACACGATATTGATTTATCCCACCAAGTAGTAACTGCATTTCTCAATCCTAGAGGGTTGATGGAACGGAGTCAACCCTCAACCAGGATGTGATCTCGTGCTGTTCCCCTTGCGAGCTGCTCGCCCTTCTGTTGAGCCACCTGGCCGGAATGAATGAGTTCAATTCCGTAATAGAGGGTTTTTTTGGTGAGATTGCGTAAATATAATTGCGTCGTTAAATCCGCCACCACCTGACAGACACAGCCAATTAAGTTGTGGGCATGTGAACAAAACATGCCAATTAGTTACTAGTACAGCACACCGGTGTGTTGTAGAGGAAACCCACAACTAGTAACTAATTGGCATGTTTTGTTTACGTGACAAACCTTACTCATTGGCTGTGTCGGGCGGTGACAGGTATTACGACACATTTATATTTACGCGATCTACCCCAAAAAAAAACTGTTATGGATAATATTGGTCGCTAAAGCCCACTACTACTACTACTACGTGTTAAACTGACTTCAATTTGTGATGCGGCAACAGCCAGGGCCGAATTAACCCACGGGCTAATAAGGCCTTAGGCCCTCATATTGTGGGTCCGCCTTTAGGCCCTGAATTCCATGTTGAGGTAACAGCTGAACGACGGTAGCACAAGGTCATCAGAAATAGTTTTGTCTATTAAATACAATTATTCTTAGCTTTGCCACACGGCTAAAGCTAGGGGGGCGGGTTAAACCATGTTAGTTTGAAGAAAGGAGTAATCGCGAGCGATTTACACTTAATGAAATTACCTTGAGTTAAATTTTACACGATGTGCTTGAAATAGTTCGCAATACGTAACAGTGCGTACTTAGGCCCTTCCTTCCTATTAGCCTGAGGCCCCCTCGTACACCCAACTGTGACCCTGCCTGGTGGCGGCGGCGGCGGTGGCGGCTCCTCTGCTGCTGCTTTGTAAGGTGGCCAAGCTGGGGATGGGCGAGAGCGGCAGCACCGCCAAGGCGGAGGCGCAGGTGTCGCGCATGGTGGTGGTCATGGTGGTGGCCTTCCTCGTCTGCTGGCTGCCCTACGCGCTCTTCGCCATGATCGTGGTGACCAAGCCCGACGTGTACATCGACCCGGTCATCGCCACGCTGCCCATGTACCTGACCAAGACGAGCACGGTCTACAACCCCATCATCTACATCTTCATGAACCGCCAGGTACGGGCCACGCCGATAATGGTGGTGCCTGTGGCAGCTGTAAATCCTTGTTGTTTTTTCAGGAGGGTTCTGCCATGTTTTCACGTTTGGGGGCGATGTTGTTGCTGCTGCTGTGTGTGTGATTCCAATTCAGTAATTTGGCGGTAAAGTTTCAGCATTGAGATGTTGTTTGGCCAATAGCAGTTACATTCTATGTGTTTTTTTAGAGCTATGGGAAGAAATCTGAGAATCCCCAGAGGAAACCAATGCAGAACAGGGGGAGAACATACAAACTTCACACAGACAGGATGCTTGAGTCAGGAATCTAACCTAGGACCTCCTTGCTGTGAGGTGCGAGTGTTACCACTGCGCCACCCTCTGATGACAATAGGTTGAGGAGTCGGTCTTGGTGAACGTGTTTAGGACAATTGAATAAATATACAATGTGGCCAGCCCATCATAGACCCAGGGTGAAATCCTGTTAAGGCTATACAAATGGCGACGGCTTGGGGAGAGGCACTCATTCAGCAGTGGCTAGATCATGATTGATGATGACAAAGTGCCAAGACCGATTCAGTGACAAAGGGACGTTTCTAATTTCATCGATGAATTTCGTGGAGAAGAAGGTGGCATTGGAGTGAAGAAGGCAAGAAGAGATTGGCTGCCCGGTGATGTTGAGTGCACTCCCTCATCCCCAGCACTGTGAGGTCACGTAACACTGGTTAAAGTTGTGAAGTGTTAGCCCTTAAGCTGCTTAGCTGGACAGCACACTCGTAATGGCATTGCTTAAACCTGTGCCTCAGCTGATCTCTAATTAATATAAATACAGTCTCTCTGTTATGTGTACAGGTCTCTATTCTCAAGATTGATGGCAGACCAGAGGCAGATGTCGGAACTTCCCAAGTCGGGGTTGGGGCGGGCAGTCCCGAAATTCCAAGCTTTTAAAATTGGGACATTCATAAACATATTTTTAATGCAATTTATTTTCTTTGTTGAATATATCAATACATTCTCAATGGCGGCGATCGCCCCCATGCACCCCCCTTCCCCTGCGCGTCCCCATGGATCTGCTACTGATAGTATCCATGTAATTTATTGATGAATTAAAACCATTTATTGCACTTATAATCCACGCATTGAATTGTGGTGCATGGTGCAGACCTCGGGGTTTATTATAATTAATTATAATTTCAGCAACGTTAGCTGGAATTACAATTACATTGTGCTATCTGATTCATTACGATGTATGCAAATCATATGCTTAACGATGCATTTAGCTCTATGGAGCCACAAAATCTGTCCCGATGAGACGGGGAAACTGAGAAACGAGACAATTGAGGTGGTCATGCGACAATTCAAACAAAGTGATTCTTACATCCAGTTCACAAAGCTGAAATGTAGTCACGTATTTTTTGTTCGGTCGTTGCTGACTGGGCTGAGACCGCCCCGCTCGAGAACCTGGTTCACCCACAGTGAACCCTGCCACCTGTGGGTAAACCCGTATTCACAGCCAGGCTCTGAGCCAGAGGCTACCGCTCAACGTCTCTGAGTCGCCCAGCCTCCTCTCCAGATTCATGTCTTGACAAAATGGCCGGCACATTGCCTTGGTTCTCTGCCCCGTTGTTGTTGTTGCTGCTGCTTCATTTTTCATGAAATGTACACACGTATAGTACAGCAAATTATTCAGCTCACTGCTGGATGAGGGCCTCTCTGCACTGTGCAGGTCGTTGGGAGTTATTTAACCAGACTGGCCAGTGCTGGTTGTTGAAAGCAGTAAGCATACATTTTGGAGCACGTTACGGTACAAAAGTGATTTTTGCTGCACTGCCCTCTACTGCATCATGGTCGCTCAACCAATCACTATCCAGCCTCAGCCCTTGATGAGCTTACGAGGTTATGACGTGGTTTGGCGCATTCCCAGTGATTCGGCCATGGGGGCTTGAAAAAGAGGCAAAGGGTCAGCCCTGCAAATGCTCGCTCATGCCACTGCTGGCAGAAGGGCCTCCACTGGAGGGAGCTCTAGAGAGTACTTGGCCTACTCTTCCAAACTGGCCTGACGTCTTGGAAGAGGTGAGAGTACCCACGCTGCCCCCCACCATGCCTGCGTTGTACTCACGCTGCCCCCCACCATGCCTGCATTGTACCCACGCTGCCCCCCACCACGCCTGCGTTGTACCCACGCTGCCCCCCACCATGCCTGCGCTGTACCCGTCGACGCTACGAGGTTTGCAGCGGTGGAGAAGATTAGGAAACGTGCACCATTTTTTCAAATCCATTGATTCACGGGGGGGGGGGGGGGGGATCGAACTAGTAACTAGCATGCCAATCATTACACCCGGCGGAATTCCTTTTCATCATACAGGGACTCTACTTACGAACATTCGAATTACAAACTTTCAAAGATACAAACAAACCTGTCCATATGTCCAGTTGCCTGTTCAGACCGAAAATCATAAGTTTAACTGCCGTGCAATAGATGGCGGTGGCGGCATCTACATCTACAAAACGTGAAGAACCAGTGACATCTACAGGAGATTATACAACTTTTAAAGCCATTTCCCGTGTTAAGTGTACACGCCGTACAACGTGTTTGGAATCGACAGGAGTAAAGTTTCACGAACAAATCGACTTTGGAACAGACCTCTGAAACCTAACTCGTTCGTAAGTAGAGATGTCCCGTATATCGTCAACAGATGAATAGTCGCCAACAGGTGACTCTGGGGGCCCTCTGGCTCTGCTGAGCGACGGACGGATGCTCAGCGCGGTGACGGTGGGCTGCGTGTGTGTGCGTGTGGTGCCTGGCGGTCGTGCGCGCGAGCAGTTCCGGGACTGCGCCGTGCCCTTCCTGCTCTGCGGACGCAACCCCTGGGCAGAGCCTTCCTCGGAGTCGGCGACGGCGGCCTCCACGTCGGCCACCAGCGTGACCCTGGCGTCCGCGCCGGGGCAGGTCTCCCCGAGCTAGAGGCATCGCCACACACGCCACCACCGCCATCGCCACTACCATCACTGCAGTCACCACCATCACCACCATCAGCACCACTACCATCGCTTCAGTCAGCACCGTCATCACTGCAGTCACCACCATCACCACCATCAGCAGCAGCATCAGCAGCACCACCATCATCGCCACTACTACCGTTTCAATCACCACCATCATCATCAGCAGCATCACCATCATCACTACTACTACCGCTTCAGTCACCACCAACATCTCTATTACTGCCACCACCACCATCAATATCACCATCAACACAGCTCCTAATGCTGCTGTGACCACCATCAGCACGACTGTCACTAACATCACTGTCATACTTTCATCACGACTACTTTCCACTGCAGTGCTCAGCACCAACGCCACGGTCACCAATCGCTCCCTTATTTCTACTCGGACGGCAGAGTTCATCGGGTCTGTTTGTCGCTGATTGTACGGCTCTACATAGTAGCGCGTCGGTCGCATCACATTGCCCTTTCTGCCTGTCTGTCTGGCCACACGTAATGCCTGCAATAGTTAGCACAGTGTCATTTACATTTTAGCAGTGAGGCAATTTTAATGCGCCGTCATCGATATTCCCGTTTCCCACAATTGTATCCCAAATGGGCTATCCGTGTCACGTTACGTCATGGAATTAGGTTAAAGTTATTTTATTTGTTAACACGCATTGTCCCGTTTAACCAGTTTCCCGGCTATTTTACAAGGTACATCCACGAGAGATGGGCAGTTGTGCAACCTTGCGTGTTAGAGAAGGGCCCATGGAAGTGGATATGGCAGAGCTACCTCTGAGATCCCTTCCAGTGAGTTGTACACGGTAGGAGGAGGCAGCACTTTTCCACACGCTCTACCAATGAGAGTAACATACCTATCCTTGGTTCTTTCGGTAAAGTCACGTAGAAGGGAAATAATAAAATAATAGAAATAAAACATAATAAGATACAATTCTCACGACGTTTCTTATTTTTTATTTTATTATTTCCCTTCTACGTGACTTTACCGAAAGAACCAAGAATATGAATCCATGCAGTCACGAAAGCTTTAAATCGAAAAGTAACATACCTGTTAACCCATACGGTTTACTTGTATTCTTGTACAGGGAAATCTAGTTTTCAGGTCCATATGACGTACAGCCGTTTCAATACGGTCAAAACAATATTTGTTTTAATGTCTTTGTTTGTGTTTCTCCCTTGTGATGGGAATTTGTAGGTTGAACTTTGAGGTTTATAAGGGCACGAGGTGACCAATAAGGTCTGAATTGGTCTGTAATAAGGTAGGCATTGATAAGGGATTGACAGGTATGGAGTAATGTTTATCTCATGACAGCCTGGAGTTCAGCCAAATTAAGTACAACAGATTTTGAATTGTTTAAATATGTGAAGGTGTGTGAGTTTTGTTATTTTTAAAGTGATGACTGTTTCTCATTTTCTACAGAGGGAGAGCTTGTAAAATCTAATCCTTCCTAAATTGGATTTTGGACAGGTTGCATGATCAGCTCATTGATAATTGACCGCTAGCAAAAAATACCTTTTTGCTGATTTTAATTTTGTTCAATTAATTTTGGACATCGGTAACATCAGCAGTTACTAAAATTCTGAACAATCAATATTCCATTGTTAGCTTGCTGGAAAAACAATCTGTCTTTGCTAAGATAAAAGAGCTTTCCAACTGCAATTAGACTTCCGTAATTAGCACACAGATTAACAGTTAATCAATTGAGGAGTGTTCCTGGATATGAGCAGGCTTCAAATGGCCGTGTCACAGCTCAGAGCGCGCATTGCTGATATTTTGGGTATGAATCTGAGCTTTGTCCGTCTGTGATTAAACCAAATTCCTGAGTGTAGAGGTGGCCAGGTGGCTTATAGATGAGAGGTCAGAGCACTGAACTGACACCGTTGAGATTCAGGAGAAGGCGGTACAGCAATGTGCAGAAGAATATCTGCTCCTTCTGCACGGGGATAGAGTGTTGCCCCCTCGCACGCGTGGGTTTTCTCCAGGTGCTCGGTTTCCTCCCACATGTATAAACACTCATTAATTGGATGAAACATCTTGGTGTATAGAGGACAGCAGAGCTTGTGCAATTGTTGGCACCGGCTCACCACCTGGCTGGCTTGCAGCTTGTCTGTGGTTCCTCGGAGAATGTAAGATGCCATGTGCATGAATGACGCTATATAAAGCACATGTTCAAGTGTAATGGGTTTCTGGCCTCATCCCGGTCACCAATAAATGCACCGAAAAAAACGATCGCATCTTATCCATGTTTGTTCTCGCTCTGAGAATTAAAACTGTCACTTGACGAACGATACTCTTTTTGGCAGGGTGGAGAGAAAAGTGCTTCTCACGGCTGTGTGGACCAGACGTAGAAGGGATCTCAGATGTAGTTCTGCAAAATTCACTTCTGTAGGTCGTTCCCCAACACAAAGGGCTGCACTGCTGTGAGAATTACAAACGAATTCTTTCTTTGTTCTCGTGGCATGATGCCGATAGCAAAATCGGAGTAAAGTTGGGGGGATATTCCACGAAGTAAAACGAGTTTTTTGGGCATAGAGAGTGGATGGTCACGGCCCAATCACAAACGAAGTTATATAATAGTGTTTTTTGTTTGTGAGACCAAGCCCTGCTCCTAAGTGCTGAAATGTATACGTGATGACTGATATTTGCCAATAAGTAACGTCATGATTATTCATCCTTTCCGTAGCGATTCGATGAACTGTCCCGGATTGTGGGACGTGCTTCAATTAAACATTCCATAAGCTTCTTCCTCATGTTTTACCGTCTCGTTCTCTTTGCTCAGGTAGCCTAATAAACACACAATGATCGCAAATCGTAAACCGATTCTTGCACGCAGAATTCTATGCACGTATCACAAGCACAGGAATCAGTTTAAATCCACGAGTTAACACACGTCATTAACTTTGGCCCGCTAACGAATATTTGCAAATCTGATTTACCGTCGCACAGTCTCACCACTAAGTGGCCCACTGGCCACACGTAACACTGAGGCCTCTGTGCGGCGTCAAACTGCGTTCACTCATCGGGCATCGGGGGGGAGAGCGTCGCGCCGTGGTCAGCGCACCGCATCTTGAAGCACTGCGACGTCTGCCCTTCTTCGCCCCCCCCCCCCTCTCTCTTCTTGTTCTTCGTCCTCAAGCCTGGGCTGCTCGAGTTCGCCGCATGATCAGTGGATTGTATTTATTTCAGCAGGAAGGGCCCAGTGAGCTGCTCGGGCTCTTACGTCATAGGCGTCCTGCGTCTGTATGGATGTTCGTGCTGCACGGTACGGATCTTCGTGACACAAGCATGGTGACATAGCTCTCGATACGTACCGAGGATCTGTACGTATCCTTCCTGAAGCGTGTCCAAAATAGCTTCGCCCGCATTTTTCCACAAGTTGGGAACACCTTAGAGAATCCATGCCATATATGCATTGCTTTTTTTCAGAAAGCAACCTAGTGTATCCATCTCTGAGTCGTTCTGTTTGAAAAGTTGTAACATTTAAAATATACATTGAATTGATTAAAAAAGTCCGATTGGCAGCCTCTTTGTCAACCCAGAACCAGACGATGTATTTATACTGCAGGAGGAGGAATCCAAGGAGCTATAAAGTTATTTTTTCATAGATGTCCAGTAGAGGCGGATAAAAACGTTCCAACAACAAACAATACAAAAGTACGATAGTCGTGCCAAGTACAAGAAAGTAAACATATCACCCAAACACATACAAATAACACTAAACCATCCCCATCCTACCAGGCAAAGCCAACTGAGATATTAACTTATTAATGCCTCACCGCTGGGTGAAGGACTCCTCATGCCTTGTTGTAGAGTTACCAGCTCTTTACACTGACAAAACCAGCTAACACGAGGTCTACGCGGCAACAAAGTTGAGCACATTTCTGGTACCAGATCTCGGTACAGGTCGATTTTTGCCACCCGAACACAGATGCTGATTCCAGGACTTTTCACTTTGGACATCACGGCGACACACAGAAAATATCTGGTTAAAAAAAACCTGACAGTTACGCGCACCGCCAAAACAAATAGCTGCAGACTGATTGGGTAATGTAACAACATTGATCGTTCAATCCACCTTATATTTAGGGAGATCACATTGGGCATCAATAAATAATAAATAGCGTTTCGGAGCCCTTGACATAAACCAACATTTACATAAATGCCTAACAGCTCAAGGCACTGTACGTGGCAAAATAAAAGTGTATCGGTCGAGGGGAGAAAAATGAGTGACTAGAATCACGGAATAGCACGGATACGTCGATTCACAGCTCTCCCTGCACTTCTGCTTCGTGTTCGAATGCACTGAAGATGTGGCTCTTTAACAAACATCACAGAATATATATCGATGGGCGGACAAAGTAGGACTACACAAATGAGACAGAACAAAGCAGAGACGATACAATAGGCACAATGCAATCGAGATTAATAAAACATTCTCGAGTTGAATGGCTGACCATGAATTCTGACAATTGACGAAATGCAAAGAGAGTGAATCCGCATTTGCCTGCTGTACATCTATATTAACCTCGTGACATAGTTAAGCACACAATACGTTTCCTTAAAATACCACATCTGTCTCCACGTTAAAAGTATATAAAATAATTTCTGACACAATCCATTGACAGTACAGCCTTCTGGGAGTGCATCATTTCAGCAGCATTGATTCAAATAGAAGCAAAGCTCTCGACCGAATTTGACATTGCCAGCGTCTCATCAGCAGCGTCAGACTTACATCCATGCTGGTGAACTGAGAGACGTTACAGTCATGACGATCTGACTGGTTGCATTATAATTCCTAGGATTTGAGTTTAGTTTCTTGACTATCGCTAGCGTCAGTAATTAAGTGATATCTGAACTAGTTCTGGCACCTCATCAACCTGCACTGACCAGCAGGGTGAAGTATGGTCAAACAACCCCACAATTAACAAATTGGCATGACCAGACAGGCCTTCGTCTGGCAGTAAAATTGACAACTGGCTGTAAATAATACCAATCGTCTTCATAATGATTCTGACTAATGCAGTGTGCTCGGTGTGGCATCTTAATTGGCCCCAGTGTGAGAGAACACCACACCGCGCAGCTTCTCGCTGCATTACTCATCCAGTCAATCAGCCTGACACCCTCTAACACCCAGAGAGAAGCTTTCGCCCGGTCATTTGAGAAGTTCCACGTGGACACATTTCTTGCCGCTCGGTCACCCGGTGTGACTCAACAAGCAACCAGCCGAGGTAAACATGGGACATCAGGCCCAACATTGGCCCAACAACGGTCAGAGTCGGAAACATTGGCAGTGTTGCAGGCGACTCAAGTTGCCGCTGATGCGGCGCTAGACGCTGCGCCTCTGCCGCTTGACTCCACACAGATTTCCATCCAGTCGAAGCCCTTCCTCAGCTTTCGGCTGCTGAAATATTCAGGGCCACCGCTCCCAGGGTTAGGAGTTGGGATTAGTGGTTTAGGTGTAAAGGTCAGAGTTAGAGTGGTTTTTGGTTTCTTAAGGTAAAGGGTGAGGGTTAAGAGCGTTATAGTGGTCTTAGGTTAGATATCGGTTCAGGGGTTAGAGGGGGTTCAGGTTTAGAGTCGGGGATTAGGGTTTAAGGCCAATGTCAAGGATCAAGGTTGGGGGTTAGATATAGGGGTCAGAGTTTAAGGCAGAGTCAAGGTTGGGGGTTAGTGTTAGAGATAGGGGTCAGAGTTTAAGCCAGGTTCAAGGTTGGGAGTCAGTGTTAGAGATAGGGGTCAGAGTTTAAGACAGTGTCGGGGTTGGGGGTTATTGTTAGAGATAGGGGTCAGAGTTTAAGGCAGTGTCAAGGTTGGGGTCAGTGTTAGAGATAGGGGTCAGAGTTTAAGGCCAATGTCAAGATTGGAGGTCAGTGTTAGAGATGGGGTCAGAGTTTAACACAGGGTCAGGGTTGGGGGTCTGTGTTAGAGATAGGGGTCAGAGTTTAAGGCAGTGTCAAGGTTGGGGGTAAGTGTTAGAGATAGGGGTCAGAGTTTAACACAGGGTCAAGGTTGGGGTTAGTGTTAGAGATGGGGTCAGAGTTTAAGGCAGAGTCAAGGTTGGGGGTCAGTGTTAGAGATAGGGGTCAGAGTTTAAGGCAGAGTCAAGGTTGGGGGTCAGTGTTAGAGAAAGGGGTCAGAGTTTAAGGCAGTGTCAAGGTTGGGGGTCAGTATTAGAGATAGGGGTCAGAGTTTAAGACAGTGTCAAGGTTGGGGGTCAGTGTTAGAGATGGGGTCAGAGTTTAACACAAGGTCAGGGTTGGGGGTCAGTGTTAGAGATAGGGGTCAGAGTTTAAGGCAGTGTTAAGGTTGGGGGTTAGGTTTAGAGATAGTAATCAGGGTTTAAGGCAGTGTTAAGGTTCAAGGTTGAGAGTCAGGGTTGATGGTCGGGGTTCCTTTGCCACGGAGCTGCGGGACCGTCGTCTCTGCCGGCACAGAGGTGACCGTCACTGCCACCACGTGCGGCTTTGGCATTGAGCTAAAGGGATTACATTTTAACATAAGTGCTGCGTTAGATTTTTCTTCTTCTAATTTAGCATTTTTATTTTCAAAAGCAGTTTTCTCTCAAAGGTATGCTTTCAGTAGCACGAGCAGGTTGGTAAATAGTTTATTCTGGTAGATTTAGATATTGGACACTTCATTAAAGGGCTCTGTGCGACATCCAGTGAAATTCAAATTTGAGAATTCACTCCCACGCATCGATTCCTGCACCCCCACCCAGAACTCAGTCTACGAAGCTGCCTCTGTCACCTCATCCACACTGTCTTCAACCACCCAACAATTCACTCGCCTATTCACTCACTCATTTACCCACCCACCCACTCACCCACCCACTCACCCACCTACTCACCCACTCACCCACTCACCCACCTACTCACCCATCCACCCACCCATCCACCCACCCACTCACCCATCCACCCACCCACCCACTCACCCACCCACCCACTCACCCACCCACCCACTCACTCACTCACCCGCCCACCCACCCACTCACCCGCCCACCCACCCACCCACTCACCCACTCACCCACTCACTCATTTATCCACCCACCCATTCACTCACCCACTCACCCACCCACTTACCCACCTACTCACCCACCTATCCACCCACCCATCCACCCACTCACCCACCCACCCACTCACCCGCTCACCCGCCCAGCCACTCACCCACCCACTCACCCACCCACTCACCCACCCACTCACCCACCCACTTACTCACCCACTCACCCGCCAACCCACTCACCCACCAATCCACTCACCCACCCACTCACTCACCACACTGCAGGGTCACCTTGCTTCTCTTTCTGCTTCATTCCTCGCACCGCTCCACTGCGAAATTCCGCACCATCGCCTATTTTCCCCCAAGTTCTCAGTAACAAAAATAATAACCTCGCTCAAGTTGAGAAACGTCTTACACTCTTTATCTCTTACATCTTGTATCGTTCTTGCTTGCTGCTGGCCGCTTGGTGTTTTTGGAGCCTGTGTGCTTAGCAAACCACGATTGTTTTATTTTTACAGTAGATTCTTGATTATCCGCGTGCGTTTGATCTGATATGTGGCTTAACCGTGCACCTGATATTTTGACATACATTTATAACGCATGGATTTTCCCTTCAGTCCAAATTAATAATCTTTGTTATTCTTAGAAATGTTTACTCAAAGGTCCATGCTTAAACTGAACAAATACGTTGCTCCGGTTCATCCGAAATCCACGTGATCGCCTCTACAGTACAGTAGTTGCATTTATTTA